GTCTCTATGAGTTGGAACCGACTCCACGACACACAGCCACCATATATGAAGGGACTTAAAAATGTTCCTGGAAAACTTCTATTATCTTTCAATTATATATTTCCAGCAACTTATTGAATCTTCCTTGATTATAAGGCACTAAGCTGAGTCCTTAGCTCATAATAGAAACAAGACAAATATTTTCTCTCCACCCGGAACCGAAACATAAACTACACTGTGCATAGATGCTTGGCGTGAGTCTACAATCCATGCTGAATTTAAAAGCTGTCTTTTCAAGCAGCAGGCCCTTTAACCTTGATGCAGACATAACCATCTATCTCAAAGAAGACATTACTCTTCTCAGGTCTGGCAGATGCAATAGTTCACAATTTCCAAAGGGTCTTTTCACTATGGTCAGATGCAAGATGTGGTTGTTTATACTAGAAAAGGTCATGATGCACAGCATTATTAGTAAACCTTTATGATGGACCCCTAGAAACAGACATGATTGAGGAAGTAATTTAGCTGACACGCTACCAGAAACACTTTTCCTGTCACTGTATGGTAATCACCCTGTAAAACCTAAAGGGCACGTACTTTTAGCCAATCAGACATTCTCACTTATGTGCCAGTCACTTATTCCTGCCAAATCCCTGCTTATGGATATCCCACCTTTGTCTTCCCTGATTGTCTTTTAATCAATTATGACTTTGCAACTTTTAGTTCCTGCTCTGATTAAACAAAAATGTATTTGTTCTCTTTGGCTGAAGAGTCAGTTTCATTTTGTGAATTTGGATATCTTCCTGGTCTGGACCATCTGTATCCCTCAATGAACCTCTGTTTTTGTTTTCTTTTTAACTTTAAGCAGAGTCCAGGATGTTTCTCTACTACAATTGTGAACACAAAATGCACAAGGAATTAAACAAGGGTGTCTACTCTGATACCAGACATCTCCCTGAGCCTTGGTCTGTGGTCTTCACACCTGTGACTGACACAAAGCAGAAACACTTACTAAAGCTAATCCTTCACATCATTCTATTGCTAAGGAAACCACTGAAGATTTGGTTTATAAAGACTTAAAAATGTTATTAATATATAACTGCCATCATAGATTGAGTTCTTACAACATACGAGTCTTGCTATACATGGTTCACAATGGTACAATATCAGGCATTATACTATATGTGTCTCATTTAATCTCCACACCAGCATAGAGATGTAACTCTCATTCTCATTTTCTGAGACGAAGAAACTGAAACTTAGAGAGAGTAAGTACCTTCTCCAGGATCACACTCAACTAATCAGAGGGGGCCTGGATTCACAAACTCATGTAAGTGATTCTGAATCCAAAGCCATATTCTTTCCAACATAACACTGCAGGGCTTAATTTATCTGTTCAAGGAATATTGTCAAATTGTACTTTAAAGCTTCACATATTTTGCTCATTGGAAGAAAAAACTTTTAATAGAAAGAAAAAGATCCCAGAAAAGAGAAGAAAGGGATGGTGAGGCTGTAGTTTTACAGAGAGGCAACAGAATCACTCCTAAGCTACCTTGAGAATGAGACTCTGGGGATGCAAATGGATAAGGGCTTCTAGGAAGTTGTCTATGCTGATCTTTTGTCAAAGAGAAAAATTAATACAGAAACTTTACTTCAATTTTAAGTTTACAGCCCCCATGAAATCAAGTATCATATTATAATATAACATAAAGGGGGGAAATGTAAAAATTTCTCACCCCAAATTTATCTTGACATGTTTTTTTTTTCACCCAAAGTTGTTCATCTTCCCCTCCCCCACCCCATAGTTGAAGACTGGCTTGCCTAATTTAAATGTCAAAAGGTATCATACCATCAACTGATCTCAATATAAAGGGGCAAACCATCACCAGCACCAGGATACATTTGATCATTTTCAAGATTAACTAGTGGTCAATATTCTCTTCTCCCTCCTCTTCACTTTATCAGTCTCTTTGTAACTAGCCTACTTTATCTTTTGGAGGGGGTGAGGATCAGAATGATCTCTCTCTATGCAACAACTGCTCAGGATAAACTTTACATTTCAATTTCTTTGAGTTCTGATGATTTTTAAACACTTTATAGCTCCTCTTTGCCTTTCTTCTAGATAACTTTCAGTCTAGATCTATCTTACTCTTAATGTTTTTTAAGTCAGATTTGAGTTTCTTCAAAATGTCCACTGTGGGAAGGGGACTTGCTTAGGCAAGAGCAGAAATCCACTTTTATTTGGGTTGCGCCTCTCATTTGCAGAGCGAGGATACCAATACATACCAGTACATGGACTCAAGAACTGGTTCGGAAACTGGGACTTGGAATCTGCAGGAAACAGACAGCATTGGGAAGAAATTACCAGTCAATCTCAATTTGTCTGTACTAACTACAAATCAGAAACCCTATACAGGGTCATTATGAGTCAGAACCGACCTGACAGCACTTAATAAGAATAGCAACTACAAATAGTGAGCAAAAAGAAGTCAATGTTCTCTCCCTACAGCTGTTGGCAAGCTTGGGGAACGACAAACTCTGATTTAGGAATCAGAGAAGAGCAATGCCCATAAAACAAACAGGCAAGCAAACTCAAATTCTTCCCTTGTTTACTTTCCCTCTAGCAGAAACAAAGGTTTCCAGAGGGTTGCAAAGTTCCCATCACAGGAGTTGGTACAGTAGGTTCTTGTTTCCTTGAAGTTGATTACAAATCATGGTGATCCCATCTGTACAGAACAGAATTGCTCCAAAGGATTTGTTGTTGTTGTTGTAATCTTAATGGAAGCAGATGACCAGTCCCTTTCTTCTGCAGTAGCACTGTTGTTGTTGTTAGGTGCCATCGAATTGGTACCAATGCATAGCGACCTTATGCACAGCAGAACAAAACATTGCCCGATCCTGGGCCATCCTCACTACTGTTGTCATGCTTGAGTTCATCAATGCTGCCACTTGGCCAATCCATCTCATTAGGGGTCTTCCTCTTTTTCTCTGACCTTCCACTTTACTAAACATGATAGCCTTCTTCAATGACTGGTGCAGTAGCACTGGGTGGGCTCAAATCGCCAACCTTAACAGTTTGCAGTCATGTATAAAACACTGTGCTACTTAGTGACTTGTGGAACAGAAAACACATCATCTCCGTTTTGGAAAACAGATTATTAGAACAGAGTCCAGCAGGCACCAGAGAGAAAGATGCAAATGCTTCTTGATGGTCTTGTGAACACAGACCTGGAGGTGTTTTTCATATCTTATCCTTTAAGAGGTGAGCATGAGACCATTAGACTGGGAAACACAGAGACTTTCAGGAAAAGTACATTTTATTTTATTATGTTTTATTAAGGGTGATAAGAACAGACTAAGAAATAAATATTAGAATAAGGCACCTTGGTTGTACAAAATCAATAGAGCAAAAAAAAAGACATTTTAGTTTTATACTACTGTATAAGATTATCCACCTATGAAAAAGAATTGGATGATGTAGGTAGATGACTCATACCCTAAAAGAGAACACAGTTGAGAAATATGCCTAAAAGAAAAACAAAATTTAGACCACAGTAAAGAGGTTAGACTGATAAATGAGCAATTTAGCATCCAGGTTTACAAACTGAACCAGCAGGTGAAGGAGCTGCTCTTGGTTTCCTCTGAAGACATGAATTCAACGATATGGCTGGGGGTTGTTACTGTTGCTAAAATGACAAAACCAAGAAACAAAGGAAGTCTCTGGTTCTGGAATATCTGGTGATGGCCAACTGGACTTTAAGGGGAGTCTTGAACTAGACAAGGAATTGGGGAAGATTTGGGAATTTCCTTCAGTATTTGTAGAATCCTTTCTATACTTTCTTCAATGTCTCTTAATAGGCTGATACTAACCTTTGCCTCAGGAATTGTTTGCATCCTTTAGAATTCTGCCTTTGTGTTCAGGGCATACCACTTCTAGGAGATTAGGGTAAGAGATCTGTCTCTTTTCTTACCTGTTCTGCTCAGAAGGGTCTTTGCATAGTCTGGATCATAGATATACAAAAATGCCTGAAATGGCCCAACCCAGCGAGGGAAGGCACAAGGGTATTTTTCGACAAGCTCCTCAAGTTTTTCCATTTCATCTTCTTGAAGAAACTGCAGTGAGAAAAGTAAAGGAAGTTAGAGAAGTCCATCAGTCTGGAAGCTTTCTCTTTTTATAGATATAAGTTGAGCTTAGAGCGAGACACCCAAACCCTTTCCTAGAAGTGAAAAAAGCTTGGGGTATGATTTTCTAAACAAGGCTAGTGTAGTTATCTTCTCAATATGAATATATTTTGTAGTCCCAAATCAAGTCACTATTGAATGACATATACTGTAAACTGGTTTCCCAACAGAGATGGTAAAGCAGGCTGTCATCCACACTCTTCTTTTTCATCTACCAGTATCACACATTAAGATTAGGAGTCGGGTCTGGAGACTGAAAAACATTCTTTCCTATGTTAGTATATCAAACATGATGCCTTCAACATTCAGCTCACTCTTTGGTCTTTCTTTGGGTATAGTTCAGTGATTCTTACTTATGAGCTGATAATAAATGCTGACTCCATTTACAAAAAAAAAAAAATCAGTGCTCTTCTTTTCCCCTACAACAGTAGAAGGTCCACTTATACAGGTTTACAGGTGTGTGGCACTATGGGTTAATGCACTGGACTGCAAAGTTGGTTTGAACTGAAAGTCCAGCAGTTCAAGCTCACCAGTTGCTCCTTGGAAACCCTATACAGGGTTGCTATGGGTTGGAATAGACTCGATGGCACTTAATAGCAACATGAAGCCTGAAAGGAGTCCTGGGTGGCGCTGTGGAATAGAGCACTGAACCACAAGGTCAGTTTGAATCACAAGGTCAGTGGTTCAAATTGGCCACCTGCTCCTTGTCCTATGAGTCAGAACTGACTCAACAACACTTAACAACAACAACGAAGCTTGAAACAAACAAAAATGAAGACTCTGTGTTCAACACTTGTAAATCAGAGTACAGCACTATGAGGGAAGGGCTTTATACTTTTATAGGCAGTCTGTCAATGATTCATTTAAACAGTTGCTCTGAGTCACTGAAAATAAGATTCATTTTCATCTACGTCTTGGGTAGAGTAAGAAACCCTGCTGGTGCAGTGGCTAAGGTGTTGAACTGTAGACCAAAATGTAAGTTGTTCAAATCCACCAGAAAGATGTGGCAGTCTGCTTCCATAAAGATTTACAGCCTTGGAAACCCTATGGGGCCAGTTCTACTGTGTTCTATGAGGTCGTTTTAAGTTGGAATTCAGGGGAACCTGGATATGGGTGTTTGTGTATGCCTATCTACACATAAAGGTATGAGTGTGGGCATCCTGATCTGCAAAAAACAAAAAATGAAATCTTGAGGTTGGCATGTTTTCCTGACCAATCACATAGTGTTTACTATGTAACTATCCTTGATCTCAGAGGTGGTGAAAAATGTTGGTTCTCAATTTCCCCTGTTACCAGTTAGGGCCCCTATAAGGTTGAGGAATCACTAGGTAGTGCAAACAGTTAATGTGCTCACTGATAGCTCAAAGGTTGGAGGTTCAAGTCTACCCAGGGGTGCCCCGGAAGAAAGGCCTAGCAATCTGCTTTCAAAAAAATCAGATATTGAAAACTATGGGGCTCAGTGTTCCTCTGACATTCCTGGGGTCACTCAACAACAACTGGTAGCTTAAAAGGTTGAGATTCTTGAAGTCTAGTTCCTGTAGTGCTCCAGTGGCAAGGTCTCATTGACTACCCAGAATGATATTTCCAACAATTTGTATAAGTTATTCATTTTCCACTCGATAAGTAATAAATATGTATTGAGTATAAGATGTGAAGGCACAGACATATATAGAGGGAATGCTTTTGAGATCAAAGAACTTCTAGCTTAATGAGGATTTTGTTTGTTTTTAAGTAAAAAATATTCATGGACTTCCCCAGCTACATGAAGTATTTGGTTATACTTTTAGTAATTCTTGGATAAAATGGACAAAAATCTATTGTGAATCCTGCAAAATATTTAAGCTAATGTGTATTTCCTTTTTTGGATGCACACAAGAATACACAGGAATATATAATTATTTAAGCAATCAAAGGGTACATTTTGCAAGCCTGCCAGCACACAGCCCTTTCTCTTTCCATGAATCTGTTGTTGTTAAGGGCCGTCGAGTCGGTTCCCACCCATAGCGACCCTGTACAGGGTTTCCGAGGCTGTAAATATTTATGGGAGCAGAACGTCTCATCTTTCTCCCGTGGAACAGCTGGTAGTTTCGAACTGTTGGCCTTAAGGTTTGCAGCCCGATTCGTAACCACTACACTACTAGAGCTCTATGAGTCTAGAGTCTTCAATTTCCATGAGTCTAGAGTCTTCAATTTCTCTATCTCTCCATGTCATCATCTCTGCTTCCATCTCTGGGGTAGCTGCTTCTCTGGATAAGGTCCCACATTCTGCTCATGTTCTTCTTCCTTGATGGTCCTACTGTCCTCTGTTCCTGGAGTGTACGATTAACTACTCCTCCTTTATATTACAAAACTTCTACCTTTACAGTTGTGACAATCGCAGTTCATCACGATAACAATCACTCACTATTGAATCATAAGAATCTTATCCCCATCTCCTTTCACCAGACCCATCTAGAATAGATGAAAACTGTTCAGTGGGGACTCTACCTTCCCCTGCACACTCTGAAACTAAACTCCCTCTTGAAAACTTGTAAGTCAGTCTTCTCTTGCCTTTATAGTATTCCCATCCCCCTAATTTTAGGTAGCCATTTAGATTGCCTGTCCCTATCAACCTTGTGTACAGAGGGGAGAGGAATAATACATGATGTGAAGACACCTTCCCTCTCAGTTGGTATTTTGAGCTACTACATCCATAAGTGTAGATCAAGTTCATCAAATTGTAGCAATTTACACTCGTTTCCTTTATCAAAACTTTTTTTTTTTTTTTTTTTTTTTTTTATCTTCCTCTAGTCAAGTTCTGATTATCAAGCCATTGAGGCTAGGTTAAATGGGGACTATCTGCAAGTTTGGATGTTCTTATGCATCTCCCCTCAATTCATATCAGATGGATGCTTCAGTCTCAGCTCTAGCCCTCTGTGGCTGTATTCTTGTTCATTGGCTCAGGAGTCCCCAGGTCTCACCATACTTCAGACTAATGAGCCCCTCCTCTTCTCTCTATCATTTCAGGTCGATGGGAGTATATAGAACATTTTCGAACTCAACCCGTATCTTCAATGCTGCCTTTCTCCCTCTTCCATTCACCATTAGACCAACATGGTTGCCAGTAAACTTACATGCCTGCTTGTGTGCTCCCTTTGAGTTTCAGTCTTGGAGGGGGGGTTGTCTTGAAGGGACTTGATGGCCTGATGGCTCCCCAGTGAACAACTTGCTTGTTATTGTAGTAGCCAGTCAGACTGCCATTTTTGTTTTTGCTTTTCCCTGCTGGTCTTTCTTTTAAGAAGTATCTTCTGGATATCAGTTTGAGGACTAAGGTGTACCTGATCAAGCCATGGTATTTTCAATAACCTCATATGCATATGAAAGTTGGACAATGAATAAAGAAGACATTAGAAGAAATGATACTTTTGAATTTGGCAAAGAATACTGAAAGTACCATGAACATCCAGAAAAAATAAATATAACTATTTTTATTTCTTGAAAGAAGAGAAGTAGTCATAGTATTTATTAGAAGAAAGGATGGCAATCTAAAAAAACAAGACAAATAACCCAATCAAAAAATGGGCACAGGATATGAACAGGCACTTCACCAGGGAGGAGATCCGGGCAGCCAACAAACATATGAAGAAATGTTCACGATCACTAGTCATTAGAGAGATGCAAATCAAAACAACAAT